TACAAAGGTATTGAGATTTTGAGTAGGCACCTAATATCTATACTAGTATTTAAACAAAAAAAACGTACCGTAGTGTAGGTAAGTGATTTTACGGTCGTTTCTTAGATATATTTTTAACCAATAACAGCACTTTTGATAACAAATATTATTATTAATATTGCATGGATTTAAGTGAAGTACCTACTATAGTACCTACTATATTAATATCAATGGTATTTCACCATGGGTTAGGTTCAATGACCTTAATAGGCGTAATATGAGCTTTAAATGATAAAGCTATAGTACCTACCTATATAATACAGTACCTATACACTACAGCACTATATGCGATATGATAGACACATACGGTACTAATTATAGTATTAAGTTCTGATGATAATATCATATAGTATAATATCTGATATACCTTTATAGTAAACTATAGTCTGTAATTATGATTTTAAAATGTTGAAATTTTTCAACGGTAAAATCAATGAAATTTGCAGAAAAACCAATTGGAGTCAAAATGTACTTCAATTTAGTTTTAGCTCATATGTAGAGCTGTCGGAACTTAATACTCTTAAAAAAATACTTGATATTTCTACGATTAAAAAAGTAAAAATATGCAGTCATTTTTTTTTCATTAATATTTTATAAAATTATAAATAGCTAATCCCAGACTTAATTTATTCTTAGGTAATTTAAATTGATTTGATGATGTGCCTATATAGTTATACTCTTACAAGTTACAGTATAAAAATTATGATCTCTCAAAATTAATGTATAATGTATACATGTATATATTATATTTTATAATTCACGAATTTTTAAAAATTGTAAATTGGTATTGTAAATATTTCATATCTACGGTTATACGTTATAACGTTTTTGATTTACTACAAAACAACAAAATGTCAAAAACCTGTTTTGATTGAATTTTCCGTTTATTCTTAACTAATTATTTTTTTGTTTCTCCTTTCGCTTTTGAAAACTACTGAACATTTTTACTTTTGATCCATTCCCTCCAAATATGTACTAACTAGATACATTTTCCAACTATGAAAGATGCTGACAATAATTTCAAAGCATTTTATAAACTTTATAAACTTTTATTATCTGTATAAAACTTAAAGCATATTTACTAACCCATAAGGTGATGGCAGACAGAAAGAAAACTACTGTAAAATCAATTCATTCATCGGAGCAATTGGAATCAAAATCAAATAATATACTCTATAAGCTTTTATTTTTTTATTCGCATTGTTTTTAAACTATTTTCTTACTCGATTAGCAATAAATCTAATATTCTACAAAAAATATGGAAAATATGCAACAACTTTCGAGCCCAATTCTTAGATCCTGTTAATATTATATAATAATAAAACATACTAATATAGTAGATTGAAAAATTATAATATTTACGAAAAGTAATGACTTAAAAAACACTCATAATATAAGTAGGTAGGTAATTAATAATTAATGTGACCCACTGAATTTTACTTTTTATTATTGTAATAAGGATTTGTCTTTTTAACTTCTATTCAATTTATAAAAATAAATTTAAAATGATTAATATGTTAACATTTTTGAAAATTAAAAATTAAACTGTATTATTATTTAACTGTGTTAGTATGTAATCTAACGTGTTCAGACTGTTCTAAAATCTAAATATATTTCAAACATTTCGAAAGACGAAAATCATTAGTTTCCGTTCTTTTGATAAGCACTCTTAATATGTATAACGACGACAAAAAGTATCACTCTTTATCACTTAAAATATAAATTATATAACAGTTTAATTGAATGTAGTCCGAGACGCACGAAAAACAAAATAAACACTATATGAAAACACTATTATATCTACCGCGTTATTTTCCACGATCTGTTATCCATGTTAAAGAGTACAATGACCGCAATTTTAGCATAAAAAGATAAACCTATATTTATAATACCAGCAATTCATAAATTCGTAATATATAAGTGTAAATGTAAAAATAACTCGAACTTTGAGTGTTCGAAAATTGCAACAATATTTCATGCTCTTCCGCCTGAAGTGTTATAAAAGTGCGTATTGTTAAATACTCCAAAAGAGGTGCTCGGATATGGTTGGGTCTTTTCCTCCCACCCCTCCCGGATTTTGTATATGCGGGAAATTGGTGTACGGTATGCCAGTTGGTTGGAGACCTGCGTCGGAGAGCGTTCTCGACCGGGTTGTCCTGACGTTACCTATTATTATTTACTATTAAATAAAGTGTGTTTATGAGTTTACTTATAATTAAAAGTGTTTATTAATTATACCCACTGTTAGCTGCTGAGAGTAGTTAACAGTAAGTCAGAAGTGGGATAGCAATATCGTGAAGATATTTACTCCGCCACAAAGTGGACTACGAGCGGAGGTGTGTACGGCTGAACGATGTCCATGCAATTCGAAGATTCTTAGGGCTCACGGGTTTCTTCAGGCGGTTTGTTAGAAACTATGCTACCCTAACTGAACCCCTGACCAGATTGACAAAGAAGGGAGCCGAGTTCGAGTGGGCCACATCTCAACAGGCTGCGTTCAAAGAGTTGAAAAGGATTTTTGTGGACACACCAATATTTTGTATGTTCAATCCGAAAGCAGCGGTGACGGAAGTTCATACAGATGGGAGCGCTGTGGGGCTAGGAGCCATGCTTCTGCAGAATGCTGAGGAGGGAGCACCCCTACAAATTGTCAACTGCATCAGTAAGAAGCTAGGCGTGGCTGAGACTCACTATCATTCATCCAAGCTGGAGTTGATGAGCATGGTTTGGGCAGTCGACAAGTGGAGACATTTTCTCTTAGGGATAAAGTTTTCAATTGTAAGAGACTGCCAGGCGTTAGTTTATTTAAGGACATATAAAGCTACACGGCCGCAAGTTACAAGGTAGTATGATGTACTACAAGAGTATAATTTTGATATATACCATCGTCCGGGCACGAAGATGGCACATGTAGATGCTCTGTCGAGGGACCCAATCTCAGATGAAAAAGGTGAGACGCTGGATGAAGTGTTAGCAGGACGGTTTGACGTATGCATGACGTTAGAAACGGAAGACAAGGTGCGTATGGCACAACAAGACGATGAAGAGATGCGCCACATAGTGACCATAATGCTAAAACCAGAGAACATCCGGACGAAGGTCGAACAAGCTATAGCACAGGAATACAGTCTCAGGGGTAAGTTACTGTATAGAACGTACCAGGGAAAACAACTTTTTGTGATGCCAAAGAGCATGCGTAAGAGTATTGTATACGATGGACAAATTTGTGAACAGGTACGGGTTGCCCAAGAAGTTAATTACTGACAGGGGCACTTGTTTTACGTCCAAGCGGTTTGAGAACTTCTGTGAGGTTCATGGTATCTCCCACATATTGAACTCTACGAGAAGACCTCAAGCAAATGATCAAGTTGAGAGGATAAACAGCGTTATATTGGCCATGTTGATTTCAAAAGCAGGAGAGGAAGACCAGTGGGACACGTTGTTGTCAGAGGTGCAACGTCAGAACAACAACAGCGAATCCAAAGTGACAAGACATACTCCATTTGAATTACTACATGGATATCGACCACGATTCGAGTTGGGTAGGTTGCGTGACCTATCGACTACCGCTGAAGAATGGCTATGTCCCTCTGAACTGTGGGGAGATGCGCGAAATGAAATAGTGAAGCAAAAGGAAAAGGTTAAGACAGCCTACGACAAGCATCGTCACAACCAAACTACATATGTAGTTGGGGAAGTAGTAGTGATGACCAGAGCACCTGCAGTCACTACGGGCATGTCCACTAAACTACAGGATCGATACCGTGGACCTCTCGTCGTGACAGAAGTATTTCCAAATGACATGTATCGAGTCTCACAGCTGACAGACGATGGGGCAAGACTCTATGCAACAACAGCACACGTGTCACAGTTGAAGTCGTGGAAGCTCGCAGAGACCTCTGATGCCAATGAAAGAATGCTAACAGAAGAAGAAGAGCCGGAACAGATTACTGAGGAAGCAGATCATGGGAACACCGAACAGGACCAAGGAGAAGAAGCTGGAGTGAGGAAGTCCACCCGACTAAGGAGGAAACCGAGGAAGTTAAATGACTATGAATGACCAATAGGTCTAATTCACTGTGAAGTTATTAATTAATTATGTTTGTTTATATTTATGATTTATAATGTTGTTAATTTAGTTTTTTGGGGGTTGTTATACCATATGTAGTTAAGACTGTTAGGTTTGACATTGTTTTATTTCTTTTGTTTATTATGTATAAAATAAAGTAAGGTCCTATGAGGACATAGGTTTGTCAGGGGGGCCGAGTGTTAAATACTCCATAAGAGGTGCTCGGATATGGTTGGGTCTTTTCCTCCCACCCCTCCCGGATTTTGTATATGTGGGAAATTGGTGTACGCTGTACGGTATGCCAGTTGGTTGGAGACCTGCGTCGGAGAGTGTTCTCGACCGGGTTGTCCTGAGGCCAGACCGTTACCTATTATTATTTACTATTAAATAAAGTGTGTTTATGAGTTTACTTATAATTAAAAGTGTTTATTAATTATACCCACTGTTAGCTGCTGAGAGTAGTTAACAGTATACACTACACGTATTTCAGCTACAACATATTATGATTCAAATAGATTAACAGCATGATGGCAATTTCTAATATTAAATAAACGCTCGACCGATTTAAAAACGGCGCTCTCGTACGATTCGCACACCACAAAACCGATCGCAACAGGAAAATACTATTGTACTCACCTCGCCGACTATTGCGATTTTCTTTTTAATTTCTCGCCGGAAATCGAGCCCACGTAATATATATGGGGCGTACTACTGCAGCTACGATGCGCACCGGCATGGCGGCATGCCTTTGGTATCGAGCGCTGCTGCGGTGATGATGTTCACGTTGGCCGTGTGGCCGGGGCCCGTTCCCGCGGGATGCGAGAGGATATTGGCCGTGGAGTCGTGGAGACGGTGGGCGGCAGGAGCCACTGGAACTTCATGAGTGGCATTATCAGGGCACTGGTTCACGCCGTTCTTGGACGGTGACCGGGACAATTACACGGAAGTGGACATATCCAGAGGGTTTCCGGTTGGCGTGAACCTGGACCTGGCCGGGCTCTTGGACCACTTCAACAACCCGTTCTGGACGTACGGCTCTTTCGTGGAAATGGGTCGGTCGCAGTGCGACGTGATCTACGGCAGCGACGAGATGAGAAAACTGCTGCAGGACCGACCACAGTCGTCGGCCGCTGGCTTCGATGCTGTGCCCATCGAATAGTTTTGGTCCGAGTGCATGTCGTACGCGGTCGCTCGGCTTAGGTTGCCGCTCATCTATGTCACGCCACTGCCGCTTATCGCGGTCATGGAGCATGCCATCACCGGTCACGTGTCCAACCCCGCCGCCGTTTCCAACCTGATGACCGGTCACGCAGTCCCCGAGACGTTTGTGGAAAGGCTGAGCAACGTGGCGTTACTGGTCTGCGGTTCGGCCTTGCAGTGGTACAAGGAGCTTTTTTTTTAACTTTTGATTCCACTGAACTGCGTGTCTGCGTCAAATTGTTAACACAACTAAATAAATAACTATATCTAAAAGTTTTGTCTTAAAGTTTAGTATTTTTTCGTCTAAAAATCGTCACATGTACCTAATTAAATACTACCATCAAATCCTGATTGTAAAATTGTTTTCAGCATAAATAATAATACATAAGTAAAAAAAAAATTGCAAAAACATGCAGTGTTCGGTGTTCACAATCCGGTATAGGTACTACATTATTATATCATTATGATAATGTAGAGTTGATATACATATTAAATATAATTAATAAATTAATTTTATTCTGAAATTATTTTTTGTATAAAATATAACAACAGACTATAGACACTACACTATTATAACGACTATACCGACTATAATTTAAACTTTTTAAATTATGTATATAAAAGTTAACGATATATTATATTGTAACCTTAAATTTTCAATTTTAAAAATATACAACTTTATTTAAAATATATATAGCAAGATTAAAAATAAAAATAAAGAGAAACTTCAGTTTTCAAATATAGATGTATACGTACTTGTACCACAGAATATAATAATACCTTCTACTTATACACAAACAGTTAAAATAGTTAAAATAATAATTAAATATATTTCATTTTTATAAATTTAAATAAGTATAAACTAATTGACTTGATATTATTATTTTTTATGCTGCACGTAGTCATACCTATAGTTGTAAATTGTATAATAATGTAAGAACATTTTTATTTAAACATGATATTAACAGAGGGGTAACATATAGTCTTCACGCCTCCCCATGCCTCTTACAATTATGTAATATCATCATAATTATCCTAGACAGCATGGTGTATGTTGATTGACAGATTGTTTTATTTTACATTTTTAATAAATAAATATAATTTTTTGATTTCAGGATGTATTAGAATTCATCGAACAATCGCCTCATGGAGTAATTTATTTCAGTTTTTGTTCAACAGTGAAAATGTCTACAATACCGGATAGCGTAAAAAAAGCGTTGATAAAGGCGCTCGTACGATTTCCGTAAAGAGTGTTGTTGAAATATGTACGAAGATGAAATGGAAGACAAGCCAAAAAATATGATGACGAAACAATGGCTTCCCCAACGTGATATACTTTGTAAATATCAGAATATATAATATAATTTTCATTATATCATTATCATTTGTCACATAAACTCAAATCACCAAGGTCAAAAATAATAAAACCTTACACTTTTAACACTATTTTCATAATCGCCGTTGCAGTGCACAACAATGTGAAACTGTTCATCAGCCACGGAGGTATTTCTGGGCTATACGAAGCCTTGGACGACGGTGTCCCGGTCCTCGGATTTCCTTTGGTCGGCGACCAACCGAGAAACATTAACAACCTGGTCAACGCCAGCATCGCTATTTCGTTGGACCTACTGTCCGTCACCGAAGACTCATTCTTAAACAACCTCTTGGAACTACTCAACAACCAAAAGTAATTATAGAAACGTACTAGTGGAAAAAATATTAAAAAAAGTCCACGATAAATTAAACTTACAAACCTCTGCATGTTTCTGTAATTAAAATAATTTCCAAATTAAAAATTAAAAAAGGGAGATATAGCATCGGTAACTGCTCTGCTGAGTAAGTCCTATGATAGGGTATAATTGTTGTTCATAGAAACTTGATATAAACACAGAGGCAACGGAGATTTATTTGGAAAAACCTTGGTTTTTCAAAGTAAATTATGTTGCCTATTCTATGATAGACTCACCTAAAAATTTGTACGTACATTTTACTAACATGACAAAAATATCGTTTACCTACCGTCAAAGCGTATACGTATAAATGTCAAGTGTTATTCTTTGTTTAAAAATCTAATCTCGTTATAATGTCAACTTCAAATGCATATAAATAGACAACTTGTGAGGAACCTAGTATTAAATTTTCAAGATTTTTGACTGAGTAAAATGGTTTTTATCCACATAAATAGAAATAAAAATCGGGTAAGTGGATGTCGCTCTGCTGTACAGTAGGTTACTAGTGGGTCAATGTTAAATTAAACGTTGTTCAATTCGTTATTTAATATTCGGTTTACGGTGTTCAAATCTTATCTTAACTTTTCCGTTGCCCGGAATAAAAATACTGATTCGCAGCAGTATATTATCAGGTAGGAATATAGGCAATATTCCTGCGGTAGATCGCGGACCCCGTGATGTTATTACACGTTTGTGTATGATTTAACCCTAGAGTATCAAAGACCAAAGTTATACCAAATTTATCGTTTTCACTTAATTCCACCTACGGCGGATTAATATAATCAATTAATACAAAATCCTAACCCAACCGTACTAAAATCTGATGAATAAAAAAAAAACAAATTTAACCCTTTTTAAATTAACCTATCTTCTAAACAGAGGTCTAATCTACACACAAACATTCATTTTTATATAATATATAAAGAAGAATGGGCTGAGAGAATGGTCAAACGACCAATGTTGGCCGCGTCTCCTTCAGTAGCGATAGCGTTACGCAAGTGGATGTACTCGTCTGATCGGAACTTCGACTGATTGAAACGAATGAGATTGAGACGCTCCATTAATATTAATATTCAAATTAAAAAAAAAAAATTAATAAATAAATATTATTCTCAACTCTATAACCCATAGCAACCATTAATAAACAACAATTTCTATCTTAAATCTCAAAATTCCCGTTTTAGCGCCTACCGAAGGTGATCAATTCCATTTTTAAATTAGCCTATGACACTCACAAAGAACGTGGCTTTCTATTGGTGAAAGAATTTTCTAAATCGGTTCAGTAGTTCCAGAGATTACTTTCGACAACGGTGACTAACGACTCCTCTTTCTATAATAGTATAGATAATATATATATATATTGACAAAAAATAATTATACAAATCAACAAACATGCCCGATTAACCAATAGCAACCAATATATTATAATACACTATTATTATTTAATTATTAATATTATTTTTATTTTTTTCTGGACAACCCTTATCACTTAGGGGTATGAAGTAGCCGATTCTCAGACCTACTGAATATGCATATAAAATTTCATAAAAATCGGTCAAGCCATTTCGGAGGAGTATGGTAACTAACATGGACTCAGTGGCGGAACTAGGGGGGTGAAGCCGGGGATTGATCCCCGGGCGTAAAATTTTAGTGGGCGTAATTTTTCTTTAGTTCTTTATTTAATGCTTGGTGATAGAAGTTAAGAAAACATTTTTATTTCACATTATTTGTTTATGATGTTGTAGTGATGACGTTGGAATTAATGAAAAAAAAAAATAAGGTTAATGGTATTATGAATAGATTCGTATTAGTATACTAAGTATATACTGGTATACTGGCATTAGCATACCTACTGCAAGCATATACAACTAATATACTATAATTATTAAGATTCTGAGTGAAAATGTAACTAGTAACTATACCTAGGCATTTATTGATGCTGTGTTTTCGTTAAAATTTCTGATACCTACACAATAACTGTTATAAGATTATCAATCAACGTACGATACGTATATTATATCTGTATATTAAAAATGATGTTAATATATAGTTTATAATATTATATATTATAATATTTACCAAGATAGTTATACATTTGTTTATGTTTAAAAAAAAATATTAGATTTTAAATATTTACTTTTTCATTTTTTCTATTATAAATTGTTTAATTAAATACAATTTTTTACTGGCCTAAATTGTGTACCCTAATCAGAATAAAAGATTTTATATTTTACCATAAAAATCTATTATAATTGAAGGCTGTGGCGCAATGCGCATAGAACCAAAACAGCAAAAGGGCTTATAGTTTTTATACAGGATAGGTAGGTAATTAAAGTTTTGATTATTTTTCAACATTTATATATAACTAATATTATTATTATTTCTAATAATAAATACAATTAAGTAACCACTACAGTATTTCCAGTAATTAAAAATGTATCAACAATATGTTAACTAAGTTTTTAAATTTAAAGTGTTTTTGGTGTGATAGTCTATTAGTATAAACTTGGTTACACCACAGTCCACATAATATATTAATTACTATATATTATTATGTGTTTAAAAGTTAATAAGTATGTTTGTAATTTTAGTTCCAGTTATGATAAAACAATTGTAGGGAATGATATTATATTTTCAATCTTGGTCTATGATTGGGCTTAATTTTAATATTTTCCCCGGGCGTAAAAATTCTTAGATCCGCCTCTGAACATGGTGACATGAGAATTTTATTTATTAGATTATTTTAACATTTTAAAGTTTTTAGATAAAATTTACAATTTAAAGGTCATATTTGAAATTTTGAAGACACTATTGCACTATTGTCTATTTTTATCTTAAGTTAAAACTTTATGAACAATTTTGAGGAAATAAAATAAAGATTTTAATAAAGACTCCAAATTTAGTAGAAGAATAATAAATAAACATTGCTGTAACTTGTGTCCGGCTTTAGGAAGGAGTTGAGCGCCTCCTTCGCCGCCCCCTAAAAACCGCCTCTGGGTTGGATGCGCGTATCCGACAAGATGCGTAAAACTGTTGTTCCAACTCTCGCAAATATTGTTTGTACGATGTTGACTGTTGATCGTAGCCTCATGAACGTTCCATATTTCTAATGGTAAAAACGGTTTATGTTTTTTAAATTTTACATTCATACCTTTTCCTAACTTTCTATATGTACCATTGATGTATGTGGAATCGTAATAATCAAGAACTGCTGTAGCTTCATCTGTTCAAACCATCTTTAAATATTTCATTCCGTCGTAAACTTTATTGATTGGCAAAAATGCTAACCTGTCTAATTGGTCTAACATAGCAAAAAAATGGCCCTAGTATCAGGAAGATTGACACAAGATTGGTTTTGCGATGTTGCTCCTGTGTTAGAGGAGAAAAAACAATTAATAGTGCTCTGACATCTACTTAAAAGACACCTGCGTAATCCGACATATGGTACAATTTTAAAAATATACTTTGAAACATTAATCAACTATTGAAAGATCTATTACCAGACAGTGGCTTAATCAGAAATTCGGTTTGGGAGGGGGGATATACGTTTTAAGCAAACATGAATTGTCATTTTCAATACTTTGATCAAAATATTAGCAGTAAAAAAGTTTTAGGGGGATCTGTCCCCCTAATTACGCCCCTGTTGCCAGATTACATGTTACAGAAAGCAGTTAAATTAAAAATGAATTGTTTTCAACCAAAAATACACAGTTGTACACTGAATGAATAAATTTGCATATGCATCCCCCCTACCCATAAAAATCACCGTAGTTTACCTTTGTTTTACACACAGTGTTTATCCAATGTTTGTAATTTTTTTACTTTTGCCATCCCCCCTCCCAAATGAAGCCCTGGATCCGCCACTGATTGCAGCTAAGGCATCTGTAGTATGTAGGCTCAAATTCTCGATCAATATTAAGAAAGACATCAAACCATGCATTGGGAGTTAAACATAATTTTACACAATATGCAATCACGCATTATAATATAAGTACACATATAACAAGTTTAGCATAAAATATAAACCATTCCATTTATTATAAAAACATATATTAAATATTACAAAAATATTAAGTACATTCTTTTTATATTTAAAATATATATTATTTATGTGGTTTTTGATTGCATTTATATTAATTTTCTAACCACCAATTTTGTAGTACACAAATATCACAATATTTAATTCGTCATTACTTATTACTGTTTGATGGGAATTCCCTTTGTAAGTAAATGTTGGCAAGAATCAGGTAATTAATTCGACTTTTCATACCACTTGGTTGTGATATGTTATTTATCCAAATCTCACTAAATTTTAGTTTAAATTGTAAAATATAAACTTAACATATTTAATTAGTATTTAGCCTAATACAAATTATTCTAGTAAAAATAACATCAAATAAAAACGGTATACCTAAAATTAATGTATATAAAAATTATGCACAAAAGAATTTAGAATTGAAAAAAAAAAACAGAAATATGTAAAAAAAAGTTCTGAAATGTTTATATATTAGAAGAAAAAGTGTGCGATTAGGTAAAAAAAAAACAGGAACATAATAGTTAAAAAAAATTTCACACTAAAAAACTTTTAACAGTCAAGTAAATATAAATACAAAATTTTAAGTTATTAGACACAACCATATTCATACCAATTTGTATCTTCTTTTGTTAGAAGTGTTTTACTGGACCGCACTGTTGAATTATTACTACTATCCTTAATTTCATCATCGGTAGTGTGAGGTAACCTAAAAATAATATTGTCCATAATATTGAGAAAGAAAATTAAATTCTTAACATAGCAATAATATTTTTTATTACTTCTGCTCATTACGATATGATGGAGTAAGTGGTGAATTTGATAATGAATGGCTAGCTATAATAGATCCCTCATCAACATCCTTCAGTAAAACACAAAAATAAGCATCAAAGTTACATTAATACATACAACAGATTTTCTAAGCTTA